CAGAGCTGCCTTGAACCTGCGGCATCTTTGGCGACAGAAGGGAATTTCCCTCCGTCTGAAAGGCCGTGTATACAAGGCCACAGTGAGGGTCATCCTGCTCTATGTTAGTGAGACTTGGCCCCTTTGGTCTGATGATCTGAGGCGACTTAAGTGTTTGATCATTTTTGTCTGCGAAGCATTGGTGGTGTTGGGTGGCACCAGCGTGTCCGCAATGATGATGTGCGTAGGCGAGTACTAAGCAGTGCTAGCCTTGCTAGTTCTTTAGAACAACAGACTGCACTGAATAAGTTGCGTTGGCTCGGGCACGTGCTACGTATGCCTGGTCACCGCTTACCTAGGGGCCTTGTTTAGCCTGCCAGGTGTAGGGTGGCGCAAGGCTCGAGGTGGACAGAAGTTGACTTGGCAGCGAGAAATGAAGTCACTGACAACTAAACTGGGTGCCGTAGGTCCGTCTCGCCTTCCGGGTTGGAGTCCACGTGACTCACCTTGTGCTTGGCTCGCGACTTTACAGGACATGGCTCGCAACCGACACCAGTGGCGCGTCTGCTGCCGTCTCCTAATCGGGTTGTCTGTTTAAAGTGTGTTTGGTGCTGAGTTATCTGCTGAGTAATGGCTGATTATGACGCGTGGCAGTGAAAGCCGCAAGGAAGCTGTCTCGCCGATGCCGCCTTATCTTTGCACGATAGCCAGCTGTTTGTGACGGAATGTTGTCTACACAAGGTGTAGGCGCCTTGTCCCTGAATGTTTGCTTTGGGCATTAAGGTTTTCAGGTAAGTCCCCCTTCTCTCCCTCTTCTTATTCTTTATTTCATAGGTCATTATGGTTGTATGGCAGCGAAGCATCAATTCAAATGGCTGCTGTACGGTCTGTGGCTCTGTCAGTAGTCCTGTCAACCACTGGGTCTCTGCACGATCCACCAAAATTCTCCTAGCCTATCGAGTAATTCCTACTGGCCTTAAACACTATTCACTGAGCAGGACTAAGCTGAGCTCGAACAGCTTCTTCAAGAAGATCGGGAGGGCTGGTGGACGAAACGGGTCATTAAAATGGAGCAACCGGCCAGCTTGGGGAATTTCCGTAAGCTTTTACTCCTGTTCCAATCCACTGGCGGCAAAAAGCCGGCTATAAGCAAAGTATTATACAAAATTAATGGCGAGCCAATCCACTGCCAAAAACACCGATGAGCGTTGGGCCGAGCATTTTGAGCAGCAGTTTAATTGGCTAACAGTACCGACGAGTTCTCATTCTGGAATCCAGAGTGCTCCATGGTGTGTAGACACTTCACCACCACCTGAGGCTGAGGTTGCCCATGAGCTTCGCCTCTTAAAGCGCTACAAAGTCCCTGACTCAGATGAACGCCCTCCGGCTCTTTTCAAAGATGAAGGCCTATCACTTGTTCGGGAGTTAACTTCCCTCCTCCAAGAGATTTGGATCACTGAAGTTATCCCATCTGATTGGAGCCTAGCGGATATCGCGCCCGTCTTCAAAAAGGGTACCCGAAGGTGGATTAGTTTCATCTGTTGCTTTTCAAGTGCTCGCCGGTCTACTTTTAAGGAGGCTCAGTCTGGTACGCGAACAGAGTGTACGTGAAGAGCACGCTGGGTTCCGCACACGTCGGAGTTGCATCAGTTACATTTTTACACTGTGCCAAATACTCGAGCGTCGTCAAACCTTTTTCCGGCCAACAGTCGTTGTCTTAGAGATACGAGTTGTGTTTAACTCATATAACCGAACTGCTCTCTGGAGTTGTCTACTGAGAAGTGGCGTTCCTGAGAAGTACGTAAACATTTTTCGAGCCAGCCGTCACATTTCAAACTGAGTGTGGGTATATGACGGACGTTTCCCCCCCCCCCTCTAGTATAACCATTGGCGTGAGATAGGGTTCCCTAGCATCTCCCTTCTTGTTCAATTTCGCTATGGATGAAACCGTGGAGGGTGCTCTAGAGAAATGCGAACCCAGTGGCCTTGAGCTGCTTCTGGTGGACCGACTTCGAGATTTGGAGTACGCAAACGACATCGCCGGAATCTGCGATCCCTCAGAGGCCACCCAAAATGTCCTGTGTAGGTTGAAGGTGTCTGCCTACCGGTTTGGAATGACGTACGCACCATCGAACTGCAAGGTCTTCCTGCAGGATTGACTAGGCGCTACTCCTATTCTTACCCTTTCAGGTCATCCGTTGGAAGTGGTAGACAAGTTCGTTTACATCGGAAGCTGCCTCAGCGCCAACAGTTTAATGGATGGGTTTTTCTTGCGCGTCCGCAAGACTCGGGTTGTTTTGGCTAATCTCCGCCATCTCTGGCGTCTAGGCGATCTGAGTCTATCACTGAAGGGCCGAGTCTACAATGCCACGGTGAGAGCGAACTTGCTCTATGGCTGCGAGACGGCCTGTTCGCGCAAAGGATGTTAAAACGCTACATGTGTTTGATCACCGCTGCCTTCGTAGCATTGCTGGTGTACGATGGCAACATCACACTAGTAATGAAGATGTTTGACGGACAGGCGGACTTTGACGGTCACTGACCAGCATAATTTCACTGCGCAGACTTCAGTCGCTTGGGCATGTGTTTCGCATGCCTACTCATCGTTTACCTCACCGTGCCCTCTTCGCGCGCGCAGAATTCATCTGGAAGCGAAAGCAAGGTGGCCAACGTGTGACTTGGGCCAGAAACATAAAGGAGCTAGCCTCAAAGTTAGCCATGCTAGGGCGCTCTTGACTCCCTGGCTGGGAACGCAAGGATCACGAACACGCATGGCTGGAAACTCTGTCGGATATGGCAAGAAACCGTGCACAATGGCGAACCTGTTGTGACACTCTATTCCTATGGACACTTTTATATTCTCTCTTCGTTTGTTTATTGTATTTCCCATACGTTGTGGCACCATACCAACTGTACTATTGGCCGTGCTATATATATATATATATATATATATATATATATATATATATATGGCGCGATCTAATTACGAAGGTATTTGCCGAATTGCGGAAAAAGACCTCATACATGCAGAGAAGAAGCGGCAAGCACCGACGGGTTGTACTCCATCGACATCGAGTGCATGGTGCTGTAGCACATGCGGTCGCGAGTGCCTGAGTCAGGCAGGCCTAGTGAGCCATGAGCGAAGCCACTCGGGACCACTACCGAAGCGACGGGTCCTGCAGAGAACGTAAGCAGAACCGGCGCAGCGTTTGTAGGTACGCTGCATTCGATTTACCAACAGGCATGCTTGCCGGGCTAAGTCAATTTATTTCAGGGGTGGGTTTTCCATTTTTGTCCTAGTGATTCTCTTTATCAACTAAATGCCTTAGTATACTCTGTTCTATACACTTGCACACGTCGCTAAGCGACTTGTCGATATTTCATAAAAATGTTCGTGTTTGTAGAATTTCCGTAAAATAGACGTCCTGACCTTGTGAACGTACCTCGTATTCGTTGGTAAACAACTTATTCCACATGCTCATTAATATAAGATCCACGTCACCGTTTTCTTATGCATTACTGGAATTACTTCCTTGGTTATATTTCTCTCAAGTGATTGGCTGTTGTTTGATATCCCCGGTGTGGCTGCGCTTGATGTGCATGTTGACAAGGTGCCTACCTATCTATTACCCACTATCTCGTCCATACTGGCTCCAGGAGACAGTTGGTCGTTGCTGGAGGGGACGGGGTGCGCGGTCCTTGTGGTTGTGCTAGGCTCGAAGAGTGGTTCCATGCACTCAGTGTGGATTGGACTACGGTTCAGCCACCGCCTTGTGTGTGCATGATTCCCTAAATACAGCGTGTTTGTGTTTGCCTGTGAAGGAGTGTGGGCCGGCTCCATTGATGAAACGTGGTTCCCATCCGCATGCCTCCCGGTCTTATTTGTTCGGGTTTACACTGGATATGGGTGTGTGGATGGAGCTGTGGGTGGTGCAGCGCAATCCATCCATGGCCCCTCTTTAGGCGCAGGCGTCCTGTGGCTGGCCACAGTGACAGGCAAATCCGAAACCGGATGCCGCCAACCAAGGTTGGCATTATTCGTTTCCGGGTCTACGTGTCACTGAGACTGTGTACAGTCACAGGCGCCTGCATCTACTGAGGGACCATGGACAGTGGACGGGAGCTACGATTGATTCTGCGCCGACCTACACTCCTGCATTGTATACATCATTCATATGACTAGGAGGAAACACGTGTCTGACTCACACAAGGTGGTGACTAGGCTTTAGCTCGTTATGCACCGGATGGAACCACTTTTTGAGCCTAGCACCGTCACGAAGACCGTGTACTCCGTTACCCCAAGCAACAACCAAAGGTCTCCGAATGCATGTGATCCAGGTGGCCATTTTCGGTAGGTCAGCATTCACTTCGAACGCAATCAGACCTTGTATGTCAACTGACAAACGCTGTTAAATATTTAGTGACACGAACAGGCACATGCACAGCCCAACTGCAGCGACGGCGCAGCGCACTTACCACTTCTGCCCCTACATTAACGCCTACCGATTCAAGTTACTGGTCGTCTCGTCGATATCGGCCCCTCGTGGGGCAGTGTTAACGTATAACTAGACCCACACGGCTGAGGCACACACGATCCAGTTGCATGATGTCAACAAACCATGTCCGGTCGATATCTAACGCTTTCGGAATCGATTTCTTTATTCCTGTCATAATGGCTTTTTCTGGTGCACCCGAGAATTGGCGTTCTTAATGTGATCACACCGTTGACGGTGATACACTGTTATTTCTTTTCACCATCTGAGGTCAATACTGGTTCGAGATAAGCTCTCCTTGATCATGTCCTGATAATGCATCTTCGGTTTGCGAACACTTCAGCTATCCGAACTCAGTTGGCCACACGGCAGATGTTTAGGTATTCTGGTCTCATCCATACCGCCGAAGTACCCGAGTCACCCAACCCTGATAGCTCCATATTTATCCCCTAGACCGCTGAAAAAGATGTACACACCTCGATCCCATTGTCACCAGTGTTTCATCTGCCTCCTCCTCATTGTTTTCATTTCAGATGCCTGTGGAACAAGCTTTCACTTTGATGGTTCAGGTCAATAACCAGTACGGCGTGCGTGAGTTGATCCTGAACGATTTCGAGGGACTTCACATGCGGTTGTATCAATTGCAGCGAATCATCCAAGTAGGTCACGGTTATGAATCCGTTCTTATCAGATAAATGACACATGTACAAGGAGGTCTCTTGTATTGTCAAGGTAGCTAAATCCACCGTACTTCGGCACTGTTGTGGTGCGCTACTAATGCGTAGCATGGGGAGAGCAGACATGTTTGATGGGATTGGGGAATCATGAATTGCTACGGATGCACAGTGCTTAGTCCATACCGGAGTACCAGTGATACGGGTGTAGAACGGGAGGAACCGATAGAAGCGACATGCAGCGGGCTGCAGACACGCAGCGAAAGGGTATCGCTGTGGAAATGTGCATCCTTGTTATAATTTCTCGGCTGTGCCTTAAAAGCTCACGTTACTTTTCCAGGTTGTGTCTGCATAATGTTGTGTTTTCCGTGCAGGTACCATAATCCGTTTTTTGGACTGAGCCGCTTGTCTGCATTCCAATTGCTTTGCAACTTCTATATTCTACGTCAAGTTGCCTGTTTTTGCTTACAGCCACACGCATGGTTCATTTGTTATGTTGCAAATTCCGTCGTCTTCTACATCAATTCCTTCACTCGGGTGCTTACAGAGCCTTTCGTTCAATGCAGTTGCGTTACTTTTCTCACCACTGAATGATCAGTTTCCTTGGTTCCTCGTTGCCGCTCTCTCATTTGCCTCGTTTTCTCTGACTCTTTGACTCTTCACTCACCCGCATTGAATAGTCAGATCCTGCCAGAGTTTCATCGCCTTCGTTCAGAAACTGTACTGAGTTAATAAGGCCATCCCCAGGCTGAGGTTTTCCATCGCTGTCCGCGCTTGCTCCTCTTTTCGGAGACACACCGCTGATACCAGACACTTCCAGACGCAGACGCTTTTGTGTGCTCAAGTGCGCTGTACCACAAATTTTCATAGTGGACGACGGTAACTCTGACTTCATTTTCGGCTACTCGTTGTTGAGTGGGCCAAGGTGCTCAGTCTCGTGACAGCACTAAACTCTGAGATCACATTAATTGCGGGGCAGGCTGCTGCTCAGTCACTATCCTCTCCGCGTCCGACGCGCACCTTTTTTCAGACCTTACGTCATTTGTATGTATTGGGAGAGGTTAGACAAGCTCTGATCCGTATTACCCCTTCACTCTTATTCTCCCATCTTCATATTTAGTATAGAAGATACAAACTACTAATGCTCCTTCCGTTAGTACATGCTTCCTACTGCTTTTTGCAGTCACATTGACAAACAAAGTTGCAAACGGATGCTGTAGAACGATACCGCTGCCACTATTTTTCCGTTAAATCAGCTCGGTTTTCATCACACCCAAACTCTGCCATTGTTTCGTATCATTAACCGAACTACCCCACAGACTCAAACATCCCCTACTTTACCGTCACTGTAGCTGACCACTACGTGCTCCAAGGGCTCTTTTCCAATTAACTCATTAAGTGACAAACGCTAACTTCCATCAGCCACAACATAACGTTGCATTTCATGATGACCGAAGTGGTTTTTTCGTTTCTGCTTCCTGTTTGATTTCTGGACTAAAGGTTTGTATGATCGCTTGCGCAACTGTGTGTAGACCATGCGACTCAAAGGAGTTACTGGGTGATCATCAACAACAAAGCTCCATCTTCATCAACATAAACTCTATCACTGACCGGAATAGCACCTAAGCTACATACACACCGGTCAACTCGGAGTTTCTAATCACGCATCCACCAGTATGCCAACTTATATCTGTAGTCACCTGAGAAAAAAGTCGAACCTCTCCCTACGACCCTTCTAATTTCTTAGCACTCCATTTTGAAGCATGTCAGACACCGGAGTTCGTCATCTCCTGGACTCCTCAACCTTATACAGTTTATGCGGATTCGTTGCTCTTGGGGCCTTTCTGGAATCGTGATATGCAGTGAAGAACCGTATGCACATTGAAGTTACACCACTCAGCTATGCAACCACCATCCGTATTTAACTTCAACTGATTCAAGTAAACGGCTGGTACAAGTTCTGTTAAGTGAACTTATTCCCCTTGTCAGTACTACATAATCCGCCAGTCACCGATGCTTCACCTGGTGATTAAATGTATGGTCGAGTATTGTAAGACGCAAGAAGAACATACTGCTTACAAAATAGGACCCTGGCTTGAGGCAGTGATTTGATTACCACCGTCGTCCATTAAGCTTTTCGGATCGCGTTTTCTTAATGCTTTCGAGACAACACACCATAAAGTGTCTGACATTTATCCATTATCCTCCCGGAAACTAGTAGAGGGGGACTGCTGCTTGTGCGTTATCAGTTCAACATGATTCGCATTAGGCTGTCTCTGACCGTGAAAGAGTGCGATCACTCCTCACTCACTTAACAATACCTGTATCAGACCAGTTTAACGATATCCGTGTTCGCCAAAACTCAAAAATGTATCCTCTGCTACCGCAGAAAACATCTTCACTATTCTGAACCTTCTAGAGCTCCATCTTTCCGAGCTGCTGCATACCCTCTAGCTGGATGAGGGGCTCGGCACCAGCCACGCTGTTGGTCAGATCCCCTATTCGGCATGATTCCTCATGTAGTTGCATATGGTCTGTTGTATCTCTGTTAACGTTTTCATTCACATTTTGCTTTCTGTTAACCGGTTCTGTTGGATTTGTGCCTGTATTTCGCTTGTCGACCTTGCTTTTATCATCGTGGCACTGCGAGTTGTAGTTCCAAAAATCATCGCATCTCCATCACACGCTCACAGGTAGCTTTCTTCAGTCTTCTAGGGATCTATATTTTTTAAATATTCTCTATGACGGGACAACAGAGAATTAATGACGTTTCTCAATATCCATGGGTCTTTCGCTACTTTTGTTCAAATCGTCACTAAGCCTCTACCTGACCTTTCCGTTGTCTTCGTCTCACGCATGACTCTAGCTCATGCCGATATCAAACCAACGCCTTGCATTCGCGAACCGCCTTTCGATTGATGGGGAGCAAGCATCAGCTAAATAGCAGCGTGCAGATTTCAACGCATACCCACCATTGCCCATGTTTACACCTGATTATCTGCGTTGATTCTCATGTCACAGATGCATATTGAGTACGCACTACACGTATAAATAACACTGAGGTTTTACGTAACGCTTCTTCGTTCACCCGCGTCTTGGATCTCGTGCGTCGTGAAATTAATCCGTGCATGCTTTGATCGCACATAGACATGGTTTGAGCCGTACAAAACGATCTGTCCTATCCATGACTACAGTTTCTCGTACAACTTCACAACTTACTTTTGAATGACACATGTATTTTTCATTACAGTGTTCTCTCATCTATACTGTGTTTCTATGTATCTGAATCTGTCAACTACATACTTCTACAGTTTAACAACAAATTGCTGACGAATTAGCTTTGATCAGCAAATCGATGATTCTGATGACTCCCTGCCTTTTTGTGCAGGCGCAGCACCGTTTTGAGATAAATAAAAAATGGACATTTCCGATTATTGCGATGTTCACTTTTGGGTGCTCAAATCAATAGAAACTATTACGTCTACTGAGTTTGGTACGACGCTCTTTGGATTTGGTGTGCCTGTGTTCACATTTGCTTTTTGTCTCGTGGTTTTCCTTCCACGGTTTTGGGAACAAAAAAGTTGCATTTTTTCACCTTTGGCTTCAGTGATACGCTGCTTTCGCTCTTACCTTATTTGCGCTCTTTAGTTACAAACACCCTCGGCTAAACATCGCTTTCTACTAATATTTTTTGAACGCCATCGAGGAAGTGCCATAGTACCTTATTTGGGCTGCAAATCTCCATCGCTCAGTGTGCAATTGCTTCAGTCCGATTACTTACAAACCGATTCACTGCGCCCTGCATACTTGCCTCTGGTACTTGGGTTAGTTAAGAAAGTTTCGAAGAACCCAGCAACTGCCCTGCAGTACACCTCTTACATACGTTCTCTCAGTCTTTTTCAGTCTTCTCTTTGAACTATTCGTTTGCCAGTTAGGCCGTCGAGAATAGATTATGTTTAGCAGTCAGCTAGCATTCGTACGTTATCACCGTATTTCCTCTCTTGTGTGTGGTTTCAGTTAACTTTCCTACTTTCAACCTTAATCGAGCCTGCCTGTGAGCTGTTGATTAAACGTTCAATCGTATACCGAAGTTATCTGTTCCCCAGGGTGTATTAATGGGATCAGCGGGATGTTTTTAATCCTCTGCACCAGGCCAACGCACTTTTCTAAGATAAAAGTACATGTATGCTTCCCATTCCAACCTCTTATTATATCACGTGTTATGTGGCTTTTGGAGCTGTCACGAACTGTTTTCAATACTACATTCGATATTGCTTTCTTTTGACAACTACGAAGTTATGGCTGCATTTCGTTTGTTCATTTTGATATTTGAGCCCTCCTGCATCAAATGTCAATGCTGACGATATAGTATATGCACCTGTTCCAACAGCCTGCCGTCTCCAATAGTTTTTCTTTGCCTGATAGCTAGATTCTCATGCTTCTCTCTAGTGACCACAGATGAGCTCTCCTTGATTGTGTCCTGTATTCCAGCTTTTTGCTTTACCGTTGAACTATCTGTTGGTCTCTGCTTCTTTTGCTTTCGTCGTTTGAAACGACCGATCAGTGTGTCAAAAAGGTCATCCCGTCATTAAGTTTGATGCCCTCAACATTTTCGTCGACTGCTTTATGTCATGTCATTGTGTCCACTGCTCAGTACCGTTTCTAGCGGAGCATTTTAATCAGCTTCTTCTACCACAGTGGCATATCACTAATCTGGTGGACAATGGATTTTTGTCATTTGGTTGTTTGTTCACTTCAGCTGTCCCGCTATCATCCGGGCACTAGAATTCGGTGGATCTGACTTCCAGGACATCCAATGGATAATTTAATGTGAGCCATGGTTGAGAGCCATATTTACGGACAATATCCAATTTGGGACGTCGCGGAAATGTTAAACTTGTTATACGGAATGCAACAGAATTCCTCATTATGGAGTATTGATAACCTGACTACTGAACCACGTCGGATATGATCTCCGACCAGTACACACGATCTTTTCAGAGCTGTTTTTTCTCCTTTAGCTCAAGTGTGCGTTGTAGCTGAAAGCGACCCACGGAGAATTGGATGTTCATCAGATATACCAAAGACAACTGGGCAAAAATACACGCCTCGAGGGCAATTGATGGTCTAATGCTGCGTCAGCCAGTCTCTACTCAACGTCAAATTGCGGACTTAAGTATCACATATCTCCTAGGTAGGAGAACGACTAGGCTTCTTACCCAAAGCTTTTTATCTGGTAAATTTGATCACGGATGCTTGGCGATGGACCAGAAGGAGTCGGTTTTCAGTAGTAAGTAGTACACATTGTTCTCTCTCCCCCCGTACAGACGACCGTTCTACGAATAGCCGTATTACTTTAACTGCGCCTTTGACTATTTCCTTTTTAAATCTGCTACAGCTTTTGCACCATTTTTATGCATATGTTCCCTTCGATGGTCGTAAGTGTGAAATCCCGATCATGTCAGAAAGAGCGTATCTGCTAAAACCCAGAATATACGTTATTCAGTTTAAAAAAGATAGTTTGTCTGGTCTCTAAGCATTGACCACTATGATATGAGTGGATCTTAATCTGCAGTAGCACCAGACAGTACAGATTAATGGATGATTGAGGCATCAGACGGTCACATCACATCTAGGTGCAGCTTTGTTGCGATGTGACTGCTGAAATTCAGTAAGATCACAAGACTGTAGCATCTCTTCAACCCTTTTCGAATTCAGATGACCTACACGACTTACTGGTGAGGTTGTAGTAGTAGAATCTGCCCCAACGGACAGCAGCTACTCCGTAACAGTCTCTAATTTAAATGGTGGGCTCACACTCGGAATGCTGTCGTCACAGAGGTATCAGTGTGATGGCAATCACCCTCACGTTGCTAGTCTCTGTCGTTCCTCATAGACTAACTGGTGCTTGTAGGCGTCAAATTAGTGAGCAGCAAGTCAGGTTTCGTCGAAATCAGAGCTACTTTGGCCGCACCTCCAATTGACCTCAAGTTTAGAAGCACCGACACATTGATTGGCAACCCACCTTAGGCGTGTTCCTCGACTTCAAGGGCGCCTTCCATTCGATGGATCACTATGCTGTTTAGTAACCTCCGATTGGGAAACGCGTGCCCTGGAAATGTGTAATCATCATCAGAGCTCTTTACATGCATAGTTTGGGCAGAGTGAAGATTTATAGAAAAACTATAGCTGCTACTCATTACCTCCAGCAGTGTATGGCTATACTCATTTTGTGTAACTTTGCCATCGATGAAGTCATGGCAGTTGCGTTCACTGTACTGGGCTTAGAAGGTGTGGACTTGCTCTCGAGAGATTGACTTCTTGACTTGTTGTATGCCTGCGAAATTCCTAATATGTACCAAACAGCGCTAGACAGGTTACCAGAGGCCGGGGATCGCTTCAGACCTTGCTTTGCACGCTCATAGTGTAAACCTTTCTTGTAAGATTGTCAGGATTCACAGGTGGTCGAACGCACTCCGTTATTTTATGCTTCTTATGCACAGTGGATTTGTTTCAGTTTTACACAACAAAAGGTCTAGCAGGTGGCCTATCAAGCCATTTTCACAGTTTCACGTTTTGTCTTAGCGAAGGGAAAGATCTGCCGAAATGCATATCACTCCATATCCTTCCACCTAGAAGCACTTTCACAAAGGTTGATTTCCTCACCCAACAGTACTACGTTCTCTGTTTACCCTTGACTTCCCAATCTTTTTCCTAGCAGAACTTCCATTCCATTAAAGGCTGACACGATAGGTTTATCATTAGCTTTTCTATCGCAGGAGGGCTAGGGTGGGCCGTTTACTATTCACGCCTGACCTCCTGCCCGGTAGCCTTCCTTTCGAGTAGACATTGTGCCAATTACACGTGTACTCCATGGTTTCGGCTCAACTGACGGATTGAATTTCATTCAGAAATTCTCTCCACTTTCTAATTAGCTATTCGTAACTATGGGTCTTGTACTAACTTAATGTGTTTTTCTGGAATTCAACAATGTGTTTGCCAACTTCTCTTACTTAACATCAGCTGAACCGTTTTGTACCCAGTCCTCCATGCCATCTATATTTTCCCTCTTTAACACTGGTTCACCAATTTTCCCCCGATATGCTCTATATCTCATCCATTTTCACACGTGTTTGCCGTCTGCCTTCTTTCAGGACCAGCTACCCGATTTGGCGAAACATTTCACCGAGCTCGGTCTAGAGACACACATGTACGCGAATCAGTGGTTTCTCACATTGTTTACTGCGAAGTTCCCATTGCCTATGGTGTTCCACATTGTGGACTTGTTTTTGACAGAGGTAGGTGTGTCCCATGTCTATACTTCGCTCAAGTAAATTTCGTCTGGTTGTTTTTAATTACATAGTTGTTCTTGCAATCATCTGGTCCCACTTGTGTCCTTATCCAGGCGTCCGAAGCGATGAACACGTTCCAAAGTGGCTTCGCAGACGGATGGAGCATAAAAAGGTTGCACTAGATGAAACGCGAAGCAAGGTTACCCCAGCCATTACGATACACTTGTTAAAAACCAGTCCCCAGACCAGTCCCGATGCATCATTTGTATTCCCCATGCACAAGCAAAGGCTTCGCATTCTCAAGCTCCTCGAAACCATAGTGTCAGCTATAGAGTAGAGGATCATGCAACCGAAGTATAAGCGAGCCTAAATGGCCTGTGGGGTCAAAAAACAGTGGAGGAAATATGCACAATGACAGTAGTAAAGGTAAGATCCCAAACCATTGCGCGTAGACCAGGGGTGTCCAAATCTTCGCAAGGAGGGTGACATGTTGTGAGGTAAAAATGTTAGACCATGTCGGGCCGGACCTTGGACATCCCTGACGTAGACGATACGATTTGGTGAAAACAAAGACAGGGATGAGTTTGGTCATGATATTAATCTGCGGTGTCGATATACCGTCCTCTTTCACTGCTCAATCGTGACCAGTGCAGACATGCGGAAGATTCAGAAATCTTGACTCGAATCGCTGAATAGTAAGGCAGGCAAACATAATAATGTAGAACATAGATGGAGTAGTATCGTCAGACAAACAATAATGGCGTTCTTGAGAAGCTAAGACTCGTTAGATTAAGTAGATAGATCTGCGTTGTGCACCTTTTTCCTATATATATATATATATATATATATATATATATATATATATATGCATGTTATACATAGCATGGACTGGACCACTTACGCTTCCGCCTTCCAGTCAGATTGCTCAGTTTCCTCGCGAGAACGGCTTCTAGCAAACGGTTAGAAATATACCCTTATTTGTTTGCTGTGATTCACTCTGCTTCTCAACATCCACTCGGCAGAGTGCGCGATATTTAGCCTTATCGACAAAGGGTGTGCAGAATGCAGGTCTGTTTCTGACACGCACCTCTCTCTACATTTACATACAAATCTATTCAAGCGAACGGGCGTAACCGCTCATTCGGTTCACCTGAGATACGATGCCATCGCAACCCGATACGAATCAAGTGTAATCGTATGGCCTTGAACAACCTACACTTTTCATGCCTCTCATGACAAGGGTATGATACTCATCCATCTCAACGAGAAAGGATATCAACGTGATATGATGGTTTGTGTACATCCGTAACTCATTTTTCTACGGTTGGTGGCATTTTCTAAGTTCCTTCAGTCACTCATACCAGGCAGCTCAGTGGTTATGGGTTAGACAACTTCAGTCTCACAATTTGCCCCACTTTGGAGGTTAGGGAGAAGTCGATCGCCCTCCTTCCTTTAATCCTAGCAATGGGAAACAACAGGTGACGGCTTATAAGCTCACGACTCGATTGGCGCAGCCTCCTAACTATGTTCATAGTTCGGCGGAAGTTGGCACCTACATTGGCCTCCTGCGTCTACTTTTGTTCGGTCATGCGCTTCTCAGTTAGTTCCGACCGCATGGCCTCTTGGTTCTGCGCCCATCTTGTGAGGGTCACACACCCATCATATGATGGGTGTTAACCAGCCTCACCTTGGCTGTAACCGACCTCGACAAAAAGTTATACACGGATAGGGATTTGTATTGAACCATACTTTAGTTCGGTAAAGGAGTAGCCATCGGGATGGTGTTGACAGGCGTAGCCATCAGCAGTACGCCGGTACGCAGTCCTGTCGCGCAATCACCACCGGTCGCACATGGGCTAGGATACTGCTAGGGTCACCCTGCCCCTACGCATCCTCGAACCCGCGACGCAGATTACAAGACAAGCTTTTTTCACCTTTAGGCTACAGGTCGGTGATCGGGATGAACAGCCGTGAATCGCTCCTTAAGAGGATGAGGACGATGGTTGTTGTATCACGCTACCTTTTATTCGCCCCGCTGTACGCAGCAGACAGTGTCAATGAGCGCCAGTGCAGCACACGGGCGTTTGTGGGCTGAATTGTTAATCCATCTGCTTGCTTACTACCAGTAAGTAAACGGAATCATGACTTAAGCCTTCCTTTCACTTCGACGCGGGCTGTGTCTCTCGGCATGCGCGACTGATCAACAGCCAATGGGTGCGCATTCTAGTCCCTACCTCATTTGGGTATCTTTTCCCGGCTCTTACCTGTTGACGATCCCCCTAGAGAGGGTTCAGACCTCATTTCCATTGCGCAAGTTAGTCATGGTTTACCCTCGATTAAATTGGCTCCCTCTACCAACAATCCCAAGGAGCCACGCATTCATATGCATGTTGCATAATTCAATACTTGCACGTTGAAAATAATTGGTAACTTGTGACTCTATCTAGAAGCCCACACAGACTCCATTTTCACCTGTGTCAGTACAAGCTTTCCGGAAATCGTACCTCGTCAACAAGATCACCAATCGATGAGTTATTCTGACGCGACTTGTCACGGATCTGTACCATCAGTTCTCTCTCAGTAACGTTTTAACGCATCTTCCTACTTTACATTCACGTCACTTGGTACTGCCACTCACTTCCAGCAGGCGGCCATTTAATCGTCTGACGTTTATCCCCTGCGGCTCCATTTTGTTCACTGCCTTGCGGCTGCCTTGCTGTTCCTTTTTCGTCCATTTTGCTTGAAGCAGGAGACTGGGATAATTGCCTTCTTTGCATGCAGTGCGAGTTTTCGCTGTCTGTTGAGTCATCTCACATGTGTTCATAATCACACCAATTGCTCGAGCCACTGTCTCCACACCCATATGCTCTCTTCTCATTGTTGTCTCTCAGTCAGCCTACTTGGCTTCCCACTGTTGTTCAGTTGATCGATACGTCGAGCAATTATTAGCTGGTGAAGTGGCTTGTTGACATCTAGCTTCCTTTGTTTGGTTAATTGCATGTTCATTCTTAGTCTGGCTTTCATGTGACTGTTTTTGTTTAGTACCTCTTCTTTATTGACTACTTCAAGGTGCTGTTGGAGTGCCACCGAAAGTTTGCTTTGCTGGAAACACTTCGAGTGTCCCACAATGCTAGCACGACCAGTTGAGTGGTGCGTTGTGCATGATTGCAGCCTTTTGTAATTTGTCTACCCGCATTCTTTAGACGCGCATATAACTGTCGATATACGCGAGGTAGTTCTTTTCTTATTCTGAATTCATTCTCCCCAACGTTTACCACGTGAGTTTGGATAATACACGCTACTCAGCTACCTACGCCACCTCATTTTGATGTGGCCATTTGGGGAATTCGCAGCAGATACAAAGTTCTTTTCCATGTACTCTTCGAGATGTGTAGTCGATTTCTGAGACGCAACAGAGATTTCAGTCGGCAAAAGTTATCCACCCGACACGTTCTTTCCTTACACTTAGCGTGCAGGTTGGTTGTGCACGTCAGCTTTCTCACAGAAGCAAAAGCCCGATTCCTCTATACGGACACACGATCAGATTGTCCGAGTTGCACTGGGCTGTTTCGGGTCCTGACTTGTGGCCTCTAATTCTACCGTAAGCCTTTTTCTTGCTTAGCTTTTTCCATCTACGCCTCACTTTTGAAGGACTCTGTTATTACCTTTCGTCAACTGATCAGACATTTTGCTTCGTACTTCATTTCAGTTCAGTTAGACAACTATGATCCAGACACCAAAGCGCATGGTAGATCTAGTTACCACGACTTGCGTCGTCAGGATAATAAGCCGGGTAGAAGTAGGAGAGAGAATGTAAAGCAAAGCGAGCTAAGGAAATACGATGAATCTGGGCTAAATATTTACCGTTAGGTACAAAACTGCAAGACTGTGCCATGTCCGATAGAGTCTCCATCCCGGGCCCCATCCACGATGACGGCACGCAACAGCTGGAACCAAGTGGTTCAATCAGTTTCTTCATGTCACTTCATCGATTGACCACCTCGCGGTTTCTCCCGTCTTGGTTCAGCCATGGCGCTAAGGAATTCGGTCCTCTGGCGTCTAAATGTCGTGATCTAGCCAGCGTAAGCAGTCTAGCTTTAACCGACACCCTAGGATGACTCCACAGGGTTTCTTACCAAACACCAACTGGTGGACCTCTTCATTGTTCAGTCGGTGTTCATACGAGATTTGAGCAATAGTCCCTAAGCATCGCTGATCATTTGATGTCCCGACGCCTCCATATGGTTCCATGGTGAAAGCGCACGTAAAAATTGCGGACGGCAGAAGGCACATAGACGATTGGGCACACTGAAAGTGAACACATATTATCAATCTGGTCTCATTGTCACAAGTGCCCATATTATCTGTTTGTGGTACTTACAAGATCCGATTTTTCGCCTACGTCTTCAAATGTAGCAAATTGTGACAATTATGACTTTCACACCCAAGGTGCTCGTTATTTCGAACTCTGAGAACGTACCGTGCTACGCAGTGGTGTAAAACTATCTACAGAACTACGCAGACTAGGCATCGCTCGCCTACTGCAGTTAGTCTAGGTCTCAACGAATCGGCGGCTGAAACCCATTGTGCGTCAGCAGGCCGAGTTAGGGTTCTGCCTTCCCTTGCCATCCTTTTGAAGACGCTGAAATCGAAGTCGGCTATTTTCACCTGAGCCAAAGCCTCATAAGTAATGCCAGTAACATGGGACTGAATACTTCCTTTGAAATCGATCTCAGCCGAAAACGCCAACAAACCTCTGGCTGTGCTGATCATTGGCCAGGTCGCTGATATAAGTGCAGTGTTTGATAACTTTTGCGCCACATTCAAATGAGAAATCATGTACTCAGTTGCTCACATACCTCTGCACGTACATTTGCGGAACAATCCAGGACGAACAGTATACTTAACTTAATACTCATATTAGGGATTCATGTCAAAAAACGAGCTGCTGGACAGTCTTCCTGGTAGTGACAACGAGATATTAAGACTTCTCTACGTTACCGGAA